GCCGCACAGAGCTGGGACGGGGGCGCACGGGATGGGAGGTCATTGGTACAGGCTCGGCTTCCATAGGCGATGGACGGTCTTTATTGGGAGAGTGGCAGCCCGGCTGAAATTGCCGTCTCAAGCGATGTATACGGTTAGGTTATGAGAAAGTGCCTACAAACATTCCTAATCATCGTTCAGTGATTTTATTTTTCTTATTCATTACTAATTGAGACTTCTTTCGCGAATCAGCTGAGAAAGACATAGAGAGCGACTTAAGCACACGAGGGAAAAACTCATACACTACATTCCCGGAAATATGTTTGATGAAGCTGCTTAACTGTCGTTTCACAGGTGGCATGGCAGTCATACGATTTTTAGCTACATACCTGCATCTTCTTTGTGCTCTTAGCTCCACCGCAACAGTGTATGTAGCTTGATTCGTCAAGCAAGAGCTGTTCTCTTCATTAACGCTTTCAAGGAGCCAAGTGGGAATGTTTGACCCCCGCAAATGGCTCGTATGTTTTACTTTGTCAGATTACATCTGCAGTCTGACCTTCCCATGAGAAGTGTCATTCGCAGCTTGGGCGATCTATCTGGATGACCGGCAGCTAAGTGCTCCAGTGCACGGCTGAGCCTTTTCACTTGGTGATCTCTAAATAGGCCGCTAACGTTCTGGCTTCTTCTTACGGAGGTCAAGGCACGGATGATTCTGATGTAGCATTTATTTATGTTAAGGTGCATATGTCAGAATGCATGTCAGGAGATGCCAGGGATTGGTGTGAAACTAAGCAACGTCCTATTCAGTCAATGCAGACAACCTCGGAACATTATTGTGGTGTCGCAATGTCACGTGAGGTTGGGTCACAGGACCAGTGCTGCCGCCTGGCGGTGACATGACCCGGGTGCGACCGGCTCGCGGAGCGGGAGTCGCCCGCTGACGCTTGAGCCGCGTGGAGCTGCGATTACGTTATTATTTTGTATTGTTATTCGTTCGTTAAGGTTAAATATAGGTACTGCGAGACAGAACAATAATTCAGTTGAAACTACCCTCTCAACTTAAGACGCCTACTGCGTTAAATAAAATAAGCAATAAGAATATGATACACTACCTACACAACAAACGAACTATCGTGATATCGTCAAAACGCATTTCAACTCTATCCAGATGAGCGCGTAGCGGCTTGGTCAGAGCCAGGTTCTTGGAATACCAGTGTTTTTGGGTTGTATTTGAACTATGTAGGTGTATCAGGAAGCAATCTGGAAATAATAAGCTAGTGACCCGGTCGGTGATCATATAGCTCCAGCACGCAAAAAGGTTTCATACGGATGCATTTGCATGCGTACCGCAACCGCAGAGTATGTTGAAATCACTTAAAACTACCAATGGATGTCGGCGTGTGTCGTGCGTGGAACAAGGATCAAAGGCTGACGATGTCAAGCAGAAAGACGTTAGAGAAATATTGCCGATGGATTGGGAACATTAAAACATAGAGAACAACCTGAAAGGGAAGCACGCATATCAGCACACATTTTCTTTGGTCTCCGTGCGTTGCATGCATTTTTTGGCTTACTTCGGCGTCGGAATCTATCAGTTCGGTTTGCAAACTATAAGTTATACAAAAACAATTTATACTAGTTCGAACCAAAAACAGAAGAATCTGTAAAGAGTTGTATCAATGCTATTTTCTTTCAGTTACCAAGTAATTCAATGTTTCAGCAATAGCACTTTCAACTTAACACGCGCACTGCAGCGGGTCTGAGCCGAACACGAACTGCAGGGGGGGGGGGGGGTTGAAAACAACCCCCCCTGAGATCTCGAAAACGGCGCAACGTAGCGACAAGCGGTAAACGGCGTTGGATAGGTTGAGATGAGATCTACAAGAAATACTAAGATCATTTTTGGGTCAGGTCAAAAACGAGGTCACCAGAGGTCACCGAAGACAAAATGTTACGATTTTCACAACAGGAATTTCGCGGTAGTTTTTCTTGAATAACTTGTCTTGCACACAAGACAGAGGATCGATTCGAACGCCATCGTTCTTAGCTCGTCAAGGCGCATCGAATGATATATAATATGACCTCGAAAGGTCAAGTTGAAAAATTGACCTCAGGTCAAGGTCATGACCTGACCGAAATAGGTCATGTTGCATATCATTCGATCTGCATTGACGAGAAAAACACGATAAACGTCGAACGGAGTCTCTATCTCTATTCAATCTCAAGTTATTGAAGAAAAACCGCTGGTGACCTCAGGTGACCTAAGATGACCTGGAGATCACCTTCCAAAGGTCATAAGTGATATGTTTCGGTGAAATCACCAACAGGGACCTGTAATACTATGATCCTGAGCGTATTGAAGTCATAGGATGGCATTCAGAGTAAGTTGAAATTTCTCCCATTGACTTATAATGGGCCGGTCGCAAAAATGACCTGACCTTAGGTTATCCATATAAAAATTCCGAGATATACAAGTTGTAGCTCGTGATGACTTTACTATTTCCTGTGGGTTTCAAGATCATATATCAACAACTGTGGGCTTGGTGGGATTGCAAACTTCGAAATTTACGTTTCGAGGTAGGGTCACTTGACCTGACCTGGTGACCTGACCATAGGTCACCTGGGGTCAAAATTTTTACTCAAGGTGTTCAAAAGTTGGGAGAACAGGTATGCAAAATTTGGCGGCGCTACGCGCCGCCGTTTTCTCGTGATTTGCGAAAAACCACAGGGGGGGGGGGTTGAAAACAACCCCCCCTGCAGTGCGCGTGTTAATCTCTGCTTCAAAAAGCAAAAATCACATTGCACACCTCCATCAATTCTCTCACATATCCCGGGCGGTTGCAAGCTTTCTTTCTTCGCATCGATGTGAACTAACTGATGAATGCGTCTCCTTCCCACTATTCTCATCGTCTCTAACCACTTACTGCGGGCTCGCCTGTGCGGTCGCCCTTTTCGGGAAACCCGCACACGCCGGCCCGTCGTCAGTTGGGCCGTTCATGGAATATGCATGGTGAGTCTCCTGCCGCGCTGCTCCGGGCCCACACCCGCAGGGTCACGCCGGTGCAAGGGTCAATGTCAGAGTTCAAGGACCCGAAACAACTCGCCAAAATGCGAAACTGGCCGCGAGAGGTGTTGTTCGCCTCCCGGGAAGCCACCGCGACTCAGAGGGATGCCAGCGGCTGATTATTCTCCGATGACTGCGTTTAACGCAGAGGCTCTCCCAGGCGCTAATCAAAGACGAGGAAGAGTCGCCAGGCATCCGGCTGGCCTTTGGAGCCGCTCCCCGGCGTCTGCCGAGCGCCGATGACAAACACCGTGCACGTGACGTGACGCTCCCGGATGTGACGTCACAGTTTAATGACGTCAGCGTGCCGCGGCTGGTTCAGTGACGCCCAGACATATCTTTCAGTGGTGACGGAAAATCCCTCTGCCGTCTCCTCCATGCGACCAAATTGATCGAACAATAGGTGCAGTCAATGGCGATTTACATAAACTAATGGCTTTCGTTGTTGACCTACGATGCAGCGAGAAACAGTGCAAAACAAATAGTCGTCTCACTTTTAATAGATGAGTCTTTCCTCTAGACAGAAAGGTCAATTTCTAACAAGATTTACTGCCAAAATCGGCGTTTAGCGCAGCTAGGAGCTTTTTCCAATCGTATACGAGCGAAACAAATTTTGTGGTACCATGACTTCTCTGTTTGGCCCTCTAGGGGCAATGAACCAGCGCGCGGCCGCTGCGCAGCCAAGACGTCCGTCGCGGTTACGTGACTTAGGCTAGGGGACGCGCGCCCGCGATAACGTTGTGTCCCATTTCTGCCTGGTCTGTCTGGCGACACACGCGTTGCCGTCCGCCTCCCCGCCGCCGCCATGTCATGTTATTCGCTTGTCGCGTGTTATACCTCATCGGGCTGTCACCTCACCCAAAGACGCTGTTTTCGTGAGAATATAGCCCCGAATCACTTTCGCACCGTCTTTGCTAGCGCGTAGGAGCATTGGAAAATACCGCGCCTTCAGTTTGGGAGCGCCTCTGGTCTTCGCCTAAAAAATGTCGTGCTGCTCCTTTTATCTGACAACTTTTGTTCCATAGGAGAGCTTTAATTTAAAAAATCGGACAAATGAACTTTAATGGAAGCAGCACTTAACAAAGCACTGACTTGCGCAGCTCCTTCTCTGACCCCCCAGTGCAAATTAAATAACAGTGTTGAGTGTAAACTATTACGTAGGTGTCGGACATCTTTGGACAAATGGCTGGCTTGGACATTTTTGGACGGACAATCGACGTAAGCATTGGACATTGGACGGACTTTGAACATACGTTTTCTGAAATTGACACCACTAACCGATACCAAACCAAATACCAACCAGAACCATGGTTAATACCGAAACCAAACCAGTTTGAGAATACCGGGAAAATGCGAACTTCTCACCAAATTCTCAGCCTCTTATACATTAGTGAGGATTTATCGTACCTACCAAAAAAATACCAAAAAAAACATAAAGTTTGAAATACCAATTACCAAGTTGGTATCGGTTTGGTATCAGTGTACCAAAAAGTCGGTATCCGATTGACATCTCTATATCACACTATAACCGACAGCAGTGATCACAGCCGAGGCTGCCCCTGGTATGGTGTACCTACTTCGGGGCTGATTGTACCAGGTGTCGCTAGCTGCACATTTAGGTCCACTCAGCTCGGTGGGCCTCCATTCACCCAGTATGGTAGGTGGCGCTTCCAAGTAGAAGGCGCCACATGATGTTCCTGGGAACCCTGACAAAACGATGTTGACTCCACGCTCTAACCCATCGAAAGCTATCCGCTGGTCTTCTGTCTTGTTCTGGTAACCGTTCTTAGCCAAATGCCATACGGTGGAGAATGCCCAATCACTTACGGACTCAGTGCTGCCTTTTTCAACAGCGGATTAAGTGCATGAGTAGGTACCCAGAACATTCAAAGAACTGGATCCTAGACAGTAACGAAGACGTTTAAGTGTCGGTGGTACTCAAATAAGGACGGCAGCACAACGTTCAGCAGTGTATTCATTCAAATTTCAGGTACGCACGTCAAAGTAACATCAGCATTCATCACACTCGGACACAATAAGAAAAGCACAAACACTGCAAAACATCGGCAAAATCGTATTAAAATCCATCCCGACATAAAAATATCCATTTAACTTACGTTCATTTTTCACTGGCAGAATTATGGAAGCGAAACATTCATTGTTCGAAAAATATCACAACTTATCACACTTTTTATTGTCATGCGTTTCCAAGGCCCTGTCGAAGCAAAACTATCTTATTTCTACATCTTTTTCATCAGCGGTATCAAGCTCAACGTCGCTATCTGATTCTTCAAGTTTTAGTGGTGCGTACATTTCGATGTCGTTACCTAGCATTTCATCGACGTCTTTGGGCAGAGTTTTACCAAGCGTCTCCGGTAACAGCAGATCGAACAGCGCCGAAGACGTAATCAGCACTCCAAAGAGCAGGAAATGCGAGTCCTTGCTGACAGTGTTCTGTGGGCAAAGAACAGTTTCTGCATGTAAGATGAACGTTGCTTTGAAAAAACAGCAGACATGCATAGAGCTGGTTCCTCACTTACTGAAAGTCTACAGCAAGTACATATGATGCATTTCTAATAAGTTTATCTTTACGCAGCCGATATTTCTCTGTACTTAGATGTGTAGAAAGTATGTGCAACATATTCAAATATGTAAATAAACAAAAACAAAAGACGAAATTTAGCAATTGAACAATAAACCATGGTTTGTTACTTCAGTAAGAAAAATAGCAGTACCTAAAATAAAACATAGATAGTGATATGCTCACAAAACTTACCAGTAACGCCACGAAGGGATACATGACGCCGGCCAGCCGGGCGCAAATGTTGACTATTCCCAGGCCGGTGTTACGCAGAGACGTGGGGAATATTTCACCGCTGAATATGTACGTCACCGTAAACGTGGTCGATATGCACAGCTTCCCTGTGAAAAACATGTATATATTGTCAAATATTGTCAGCAGCGTCCTAAACAGATTGTGCCTTTAGCTGTGATTTATGGATTCCATTAAAAACTTGTCATATTATGACCAATAAATGATAAATAGACTGGATATCTGACACCCGGATATCTGATGGGATATCTAATATGTTATATCTGAGACTGACCTATGAGGCTGAGGGTGAGCCGCCCGCCGTGGTCGTCTATGTAGACCGCCGGCAGTACGTAGATCAGCAGACAGGCGACCCCTCCGATGGCCATCGTGCCACTCAGCGTGTACCGCCGGCCGAGCCTGAGGTCAGGTCAGGCGCGGGTCAGCGTGGGGAGAGTCGGGAACTGCTTAATGAAGCATTAGCGCCTATCATAAACGGTGCATTCCTGCAGTCGCCTTAACCCGGCAGGCGGTGGGCCTCCCAGGCACCTTCCGCGCGGTGGGGGGGGGACATTTTTTGCCCCCCCCCGTATCTCCGAAACTACTGGACGGATCCGGAAAATTCAAACGGCGTTCGATAGCTCTGTCAAATTTGTCGAAAGAAACCAAATTTCATTGACCTCGGGGTCACCGATGACGTCACAGGTCAGGTCAAAGATAAAATGTTTCACCGTTTACGGGGCTTCCAGGGAAAGCGCTATAACACCGAGTAAAACGCATTTTGTCGAAGATCCGCGATAAGGCGTCAGTTGTCTAGTACATATGTTGCTATTAGAGGTCACTGGTCATACCAGGTCAGGTCACAGGTCAGGTCAACAAAGGTCACCAAGGGTCACCACATGAGCCCAACTTTACTAAGGTTATGCGATGCATGTTTTATGGCCAGTTTTTCATTTCCAACTCAATGGTGTTGGTTATAAGACCATCAGGTACGGTTTAGGTCACTTTCTGGTAGAGGTCAGGTCAAGGTCAGGTCAAAAAAGGTCAAATTTCAAAGTTGATATTTTTGCATAACATGGGTATCGATTCGATGCAGCTTGTCACGGGGAGTCTAATGGTGGTCTTTGTTTTGCGTTACGAGGTCTAGAATTGCTAAAAATTGAGTTTGAAAATTTGACGTCATCAATTTTGAACAGTTTTTTCGCTATAACTTGGCCAAAAAGAGAGGTATCGATCTCAAATTCGGCATATAGATAGAAGGCGGTAGGGACTATCACATATATTCCGTTTTTTTCGAAATTAAAAAAAAAGATTTTTCGGCTATTATATTCAAAAAATCTATTTTTTATTTTGGGGGTCAAAATCCAAAAATTCGAAAAACCGAAATAGCAGTTATGTAGCCCTTTTGATTCCACACCTTTTATGTCTGAAATATTTTTCTGTATCTCTAAAGCTGTAGGCCTGACAGCTCTTCCCGCGAAACCTTTTTTTGGGTCGAAAATGGCAAAAATGACGTCACTCTGACGTCATTAGCGGCCAACCTATCATAGCCTTTGGAAAAATATTTGGTCACCATGTGCGCTAGCTGCTCCCGGGAGGGTACTGAAATTTGGTGACGATCGGCGCAGCGGTTCTCGAGATATATTGAAAAAAAACTAAAGGGGGGGGGGGGCAAAAAAATGCCCCCCCCCACCGCCTGGAAGGTTAATTCCTTCACTCCCTTCACCTACACGTATGACACATATGAAAATTACGGCTTTTGAGTGAGAGCGGGATCGTGTGGCTTGCTGATATACAAAGGAGGCAAAGTACTTAAAATGTACAGTGGGTCTATTTAAGATCTCCAGAGCCACCACGTGGCGCTACGGTCGGGGTATGGCGAGTCCAAATCCCGAGGGAAGTGAGGTCACCGGTCATTGTGGGGGAAGGAGGGAGGGGGAGTGACGCGGTATCACGGCGCATGGGGCGTGCGTAGCGCCGGGAGTGGGCCGCCCAGGGCCGCCCGCCACTGCACCGAGGCTGAGGGGAGGGGATGATGGTTGCGGGTGCGTTCACCCCGGTATGGTGGTATCCTGTTCATGTGGAACCGGCAAGAATGCGACTGAAGGGAATCATCATCTCAAACAAACGGGCAAGCCAGAGGCAGCGTCAGTTCCAGCCAAAATGTTGAACAATGATAATTGAAATCTAGGACGTATTCATAGCATGCAACTATTCAGTCGATAGTTGCATGATGCTTTTCATGATGCATGATGAGGCTTTTCTAAACTGTTATTTGAGTTAGATATTTTTCATTTGGCACGTTCAGTTTTGGTGGGTTTTATCGGGTCGAAAAGAAGCAGAAAAGAAAAGAAAAAAGTTGAAATGGCTCCAGACAAATGACCAAAAAATTTTTCTTAAAAAATGAATCTTAGCATAACATTTATAGCGATAATTTTGACATTTGGAAAGGATATTGGGGAAAGATATTGGGGAAAGATGTCATCGTGCTTAGCTAGGTTGCAGTAGAAGCCGGAAAGGTTTTGGTTCGTGTCTAGATAAAACCAGACCCGGCTGTGGGGCTCGAACTCACGACATCGCATTCAGCTCACAGGTTACCCAGCCTCAACGCTACGAGCACCTATCGCCCTGCGCAGCTTGCTCAGTGTTTCGGCTAAAGTTCGGCCAAAGTGTCTGACGTCTGTCAATGTCACGAGGCGAAACCCCAAGGTAAATGTCCGTCCCGGTAGCTCGGTCGGTAGAGCGTTGGACTCCATGTGCCATGTGGTGAGAGCGCACGTCCCGGTTGCAAAAGTCCGGGTTCGAAACGTGACGTGTGCTTGACGTTTTTGAGCCTCCTGACGGGTATGGTTGTGGTTGGTTGCAGGCCGCTGCCAGGCGAAGTCAGTGAGGGGACCGGTCGTGCGCGGCTATGTGCGCACGTTAAAATTTGGACTCTAAATTCTGCCATAGACCAGGAATTGCTTGATCGGAGGGTAGAGAGTAGGGTCAACGCAACAAGCTCAGCTTAGCGGGGACTTTGTTCTTGTGATTCCTTTCTTTCAAAAGGTTCGGGCCAAATTTATGTTAAAAAAAGGCAAGCCGAACCTGGTTGGGCCGGGTTGAACCCGGTTGGACCGGTGTCTTACATCACGCAACCATGCAGTCAGACAAAACAGAGGCTAATATCGGGTTAAATATTTTTATTAACTTATCTTATTGTTTTTTAGCTTACACGTATGATAACTTTTAGCTTTTTTTTTAAACTCCAGACTTCATGCACAAAAATGTGGCATTCGTCCACTTTTCCTAATCTTCTCTTAGCGACTTGATTTGACCTTAAAAGCCCATCTTACCAGCAAAAAAAAAATCACCTGCGTGATAATTATTTGCCGAAGGGCGCTCTACGCATGAAACGCCAGCCGGTCAAAAAACTGGCGAACGATACGATCTTTCTATTGCTTCAATTATATTCAATGACAATTTCAGGAGACATAAATAATCTTAATCCTTATAGCTGCTGGGCGCCCAGAGCATTCGCTAGCATTCCATTGCTAGCTGCATTACCAACATCACATTTGCTACTTTGGGTTCACCATAGTTGACAGTAGATGAGCCGGCCACAGCAAACCCATGCCTCATTATCCTTTCCTTCCAAGCAGCCAACTGCGAAGCTAACCGGCCGCTCGGCCCACCACCGCGATATGGAACAACACTGGAGTGCGCCATTTGCCTGCGGCAGTGCCCCACCGCGCCGGGGCTGTTTGACAGGTCACCCGCACCGTGACCTCGCCACCCCCCCCCCCCCGCCCCATCGGGCCCAGCTCGGTAGTGACCTCTCCTTGAATCTCACATGGACTCGACTCATGCTCAACGCCATCTACTTTCGTCTGGAGATCCTTACTAGATCCACTGTACAGCTTTTGTAGATAAGGACGATTTTTATCGATCGTTTAAGCGGCCATGATCCAGGACAGCTCACCGCTCCAGCACCCAGGTGATAGCTTAGCACCCCTGGTCAGGTCAGCTTGCAGCCCCTAGGTGATAGTTTAATCTCCCCGGGTCAGGTCAGGTCAGGTGAGCTCACCGTTCGAGCACCCAGGTGACGACCAGCACCGGCGGCAGCTCAACCAGACCGGAGAAGGCGAACGAAGAGAACCGTCCGCTGCCCATGCCGGCGGCGGCCGCCGTCAGACCGTAGTAGGACAGCGTGTGCACCGCCCTGATGCATATGGAATCGACGGGAGCGGTCAGAATTAGGGCACAGGCTGTGATATATACAATATACATACCCACCGGGCGAAAGCAACGGTCAGAAACGGGGTGACACAGAAGTTCTGAACAAGTGAATAAGGTGCACACTGCACAAGTCCCAAGTAAGTATGCTTATTACGAGCGAGCATTGGAGCTGGACCCCAGCATTGACAGCAGTCGGTATTGCGAGTTGCGACTAAGTGCTTTTTACTTTTTGCCTAGCGTTTTTTATTTCCATCATCATATTATCTTGCATTTAAAACAACGATTTAAAGGAAATGATTCTGCTTGTCATCGACCTCTGTGCCTCCAAGGACCATTATCGCGTTCCCGTCCGTACCAGTTGAAGCAGAGCACCACGGTCCACAGGGCGGCGCGGCCCCGGGCGAAGAGGGAGCAGCAGTGGTCCGAGGTGCTGCCACCCTCCTGTTTGGAGGCCACCAGACTGAAGTCGGAGGGCGGCGTCAGGCCGTTGGAGCGCGCCATGCCCAACAGGACCTGTTCGGCGTCACGCGTCCTGCCCTTCTGCAGGAGCCAGCGCGCACTCTGCGGCGCCACACTGAAAATGCAAGGGGAGGGGTGGGGATAAGCTGGAAAAGAGCTATGAAGAGCATTTAATGGAAGTGGATAAATAATTATCAACGAGCAATCAGGGTGTTAAACGGACAGCATTGTGACCCTTCAGTGCTCTGATTGACCAATTGAAAAGGCATGTTTTGTGAGACTATTCCTTGCACATAGGTATAAGAAATAAGCGATATATTGCTAAGTTATTTCGTCGCACATTCCTGCAGAGATCCCATTAAAAAATCAACCCAACATCGTTCACTAGATCTTTTGCCTAAACTTGATTTGCCTAGCGTTGCCGTATGTTCATGTCTCAAGCATGCTTGTGCAGACACCGGGACACCGGTATCACTCACACTCCGATCACTAGGACGGACAGCGCGGCCACCACGGCAGAGAAGACGAGCAGCCACCGCCAGCTGGTGATGAGGTAGGCGGCCAGCGACAGGCACAGGATGCCCGCCGAGAAGAAGACGGAGCCGAAGAGGCCCACCTTGCTGCGCAGCTGCGGACCCACCAGCTCCGTGGTGAGAGTGAAGTTGGGGAAACCGCCCGCCTGCAGGAAGCCCGTCAAAAACCTGGGGGAGGCATAGCAGCTCGGTCAGGTTGTTATCGGCAAGAAGAAGGGGCGAAGTCGGAAACAGACCCGGGCTCCGACATTGTCCAGCGTTCACGGTATCTTATCCCTCGCCCATGTAGGGGGGGTTGGTGCAACCCCCCCCCTGAGGTTTTTCGGAAATAGTGCAAAAACGGCGGCGCGCAGCGCCGCCAAATTTTGGGTACCTTATGGGGCAAACCTTGCGCATCTTTTGAAAAAAAAAAATTTGACCGGGTCATGTCAGGTCATGGAGTTGTGACGTCACAAAGGGAACAGCCTCCGGCCGGATTTTCACAAACTGAGTGCCAACGCCCGAGGTTTCCTGCCGGTGGTACGGACATCCGTTGATGGATCGTGATGAAACTTCCCATGCATGTTGGGGCAAGTATTGGCTATCATATGGTATAAGAAACTTGACCGGGTCAGGTCAGGTCACGGAGCTATGACGTCACAAGAGGAACAGCGTCCGGTACTATTTTTGAAAAGCGCCCGAACCACTATTTTGCTAATTCTTGTCACCTCAATGGGAATATGCAGCAATAGGTATTAGCTTCTATAGGGAGCAAATGGACCTCCCAAATCCAAAAATACAATCAGATTTCAAAAATTTAAGTTTTGATTTTTCGAATTTCTGCCGCTGACTGTGACCTTGCCGACTTCCGGCGCTCCCAACGCGCCATTTTTAGAGCTAGGGAAACGAAATACATACCAAACGATAGAGAATTGATCAAGGAACACGATAGAAAAGGTTTCAAGTCGATATCTCCCACCGTTTTGCCGCAATCGCCGCGGAAAGTTGAAAAAAGTCTATTTTTCCGAAAATTTGACCTTTGACCGGTCAAAAGTAGGTCAAATGTTGACCTAGGACCAAAAAATATACCGCCAATCGTGAGATCTCGGCGAGAGCAATCCGTTGGTCTTTTCCGCTAAGCTCTACGACGCTCCGTTTTCAAACGCCAAGGGGGGGGGTCGCACCAACCCCCCCCCCCCCTGCATGGGCGAAGGTGGCAGATCGCCGTTTACGGGCGAGGGTTATATTCCATCACAAAACGGTATAACGTACGATTATAAAAAAGACTTTATCGTGCCAAACAATGCCTATAGCAATAACAATAACAAACCATTATCGTGCATACCTACTCCCATTAAATGAAATATGTTCGTTAACGGGCTAGCGCCGGACAGCGGCGAGACGGTCCTCCGAATAGCCGCGCCGCCGCCCGGGGCGGCCCCGCCGGCGGCGCGGCCCTCTCGGACGGGACGGGAGGGGACGGGAGACGCTTCCCCAGTGCGTGGGCGCTCGGCGCGCGCGGCGGAGGCGCGCTCCCGCGCGTCGAGAGGAGCGTCCGTCGGGTTCGATTTTTTTTCTTTCTTTTTCAGCTCGTCGACCGTCCCTCTCACATCGCGTAAGGAATGGAGGAATGGACATAACGTGAGAGGGACGGCCGGCCGATCATCAGCCAATGTAACGTTCGAGCAGAGTCTGTGCGGCGCTATAGTTAACGGAAGATAACGTTGTTATCTGCTATTGAAATCAGGACTAGCCGTAATCAAATTTCACCGCGGTGGTCTCCACATCGCCAACAAGTATTTACTTTCATTTGTGCACTAATCAACTAAACTCCGGTACACACTCACGGGAAGAACCCACCGTCCTCACCGCAGCGCCGCGAACGTTCCGTAGTTGGGTGACAGCGCCAGCGCGCCCATCAGCAGCGCCTGCAGGCCGAATGTCAGCAGCACCAGCCGGCGGCGGCCGAACCTGTCGGCCAGCGGGCCGATCGGCAGCGAGGCCATCGTCATGCCGGCCATGAAGAGCGACTGGAGCGCGTGTGCCTCCGAAGCGCGCTCACACACCAGCGACCACTGCCAGACGGAAAACAGCCGTTAGAACGGGGTGTGAGAGATGAACGTAGGATAGCTTATGTGATGTTTTCAGACACGGTCTGATGCATATTGCGTGAACGGTTTCATGCGTGAAGTAAATGGTAAATTATTGCACTTTCTACACAAATGTAACGCAACCCGAATGGAAGGCTATGCCGGCGTAATGACCCGATAACACTGCCAGAATGGAACTGAAACGGGCGTTAAATGAAAAGGCAAAGAAGTTAGGGGCTTGCTAGGGCCTTCCCCCTATAGAGTTTCCTACAAGTTTAGAGAAGGAGCTCTTCGAGCCTAAGCAGCCAACTACGTAACAAAGCTCAGCTAAGTTGTCATGGCCAGCAAACGGTCGGCAGAACTATTCAATGATTATGGTCAATCGCTAGAGATATAATATGTTGTTGCGATCAATGCTAAAATCGTAATTACCTCAGTGACAACACTAGTGTACGGGTGTCTGAACACGATCCGGTCACAGTGCTCCGTGGTGCCGTTGAAGCACGCGTCCACCAGTACCTGGGTACCGTTCGCGCCCTCCTGGTGACATTCGAACTTTGGCGTGTGACCTGGGGAAGGGAGGGCAGTCAGGACGGGCTGTCACACACGTTTGGCAGTTTCGTTTTTAGCTGTGCAAGTTGAAAGTAGAGCGTCTAAATATGTAAATCACATGGATCATGTAATTGTCTTAAAACCATGATTTAGAAGTCGGCGTCGATTGCTTGTCATGTCATGATACCAAAGTAAACGTTCATGTTTCGTCATATAGCGTTTACTTTATGCAACATAAAATACTTATGTCATACTTCACAGTTCACACAGACACGATCATTTGGCTTTCACGGCAATTGTGACTTAAATTTTAATATTTTATTGAGGTATCCTTAATTACGCGATATTTAATAAATAAAATTCAATTTATTTCGAAACGGAACTCTATGTAGTCTTACCGACAAACTCCATAACCAGAACGATCAGGGCACCGGGCAGCGCCTGGGCACTGATGGCCACCGCATAGATCCATTGGAGCCGCCTCTTGGGATCGACCAGCTTCAAGGCCTCGTCCACATCCATTGTCGCTGCCGAGGCGGTCAGGAGCTCGGGAGGGGGTTGGCACTTGGCGTGGGCGGCCGTGGCTTGCCGTCGACTCAAAGGAAACTATCGGGCGGTTCCTGCGGCGCGCCGCACGTCAACAGTATCGATTATGTCGCACGGTTGTCGGACGGCCCTGTTATGTCACCTTTGATACTGAAGGCGCCAGCTGCTCCACTTGTGGGAGCGAGTCGGAACGATGGACGAGGGGGACTTCGTAATTTGCTGCTGGGAGCCCGCACATGTGTGGTAATTACAGCCACTTATCTGGTAGAGTTTATAAAATATCAACTTGTGAGAGGGTGCCTGTCATGCCGAGACTTCTCACAGAATGGTTTCAGGGCGCGCCAGACAAAAGTAGATCATACATATATGTAGATGTTTTGCAGGAATCACAAACCACAGTCCAGCTCCGTCGATTTCGCTTCACTTCTCAGTTCACAACGCACCCATCTCTCACTGTATTAGTCGGTCGTTTATGATCGTTCAGCTCTTGCTATCTGTTTTTGCGTTGCTCCGTCGGCTCTGTTTACGTTGCGTTGGCGGACGTTGGGTTCAGCTGTACCGTCCTGTCCTACCCCAACCGTAACAGCTGGGCTCACTTCACGGTCTCTGTCGGCCGACCGGGGACTAGCGGTACTCGTACCGGTACACCACACAGTACCGAGCCAGCACACAGCGCAGTACACAGTGCTCACTCCTCTCACTCCGCTCACCGCTCACTATACGGCTGACACACACCGGCAGTCCGCTCGCCACACAGCGGCAGTCCGCTCACCACACAGCGGCAGTCCGCTCACCACACACCGGCAGGCCTCACCACACAGCGGCGGCCCGTCTGCCACGCGGCCGCACTGTGCACTCCGCCCCTCCCACCCCAGCCGCGTGCACTGTGCAGAGCCGATCACAGGCGACGGCTCGGCGGCCCCAGCGGCGTCAGACAGACGGCCACGTCAGCAGAGCACTGCCACGCAATAGAACGCGCTTCACTGTGAGACAGGCGACCGCTCCCAACACAGCGCACAGTCGCCGCCGCTGGGCTCACTGCTCTGTCACACTGTGGCTCTGTAGTGGCGGCAGCACGCGAGGTCACCTGGTCAGGTGCGCGGCGTCCGGCGCGGCGGTCCCGCCTCTGACGGGCGCACCGCTCGCTGGAGAAGGTCGCGGACCGTGACGATTGCGGCTGGGTGACGTCACCGTCCGGTCCGCGGCGGCTCACCGCGCCGCGCTGACGGCCGACAGGCCAGGACCGGCACACGGGCGGCCGCGCCAGGGGTCTTTGAACACGGTTATGGTGGATGTGCGAGCTACCAGATTTTCAGAGCATGAATGCTCGCACGATTCAGAGCAAATGCTTATTATCGATTGAACAAATCGCAAGCGATTACATCTCGTTGTCCTCACTCGAAGGCACTATTACGTTTTGGCTAACAGCTTCCGTAGGTAAATTATTGGAAAATGAGTTAAAGACTATTGTATTTCGAAAAAAAATACAGCTCTGTGATTAACCCGCGTCCCGCTAGGGGTCCTGGAATTACATGCCCTGCTGGGGGGGGGGGAGTGTTTGAACTCGGCTCCTGGGCCACGTGGCGATACGGGGAAAGCGGCGTTTAAAGGTAATGTGCCACCTTCCAATGATTTCCCATTTTATTTTTCCTAGAATAAGAAGCTTCTGTTTTTACCTAATATCGCAAAAAATCAAAAATGGGCCTAAAATAGTGCTTTTTTCGCCTAAAACTTTATCGGTTTTTCGATATGTATACCTAACAACTGTAGTGGGCTGACCTGCAAACAGGCGTCGGCAACACTTCGCGAATGCGGCGCACATGTGACAATAAGCAAAGGTCATTATAGAATTACGACGTACGGGAATGAGTTATCAGCTGTCTAATCGTAGACAACACAATGTCGAATTTAAACTGTAAGCCTGTATTGGTATTGTTTCTTTAATTTGGCTGTCGAACATTAATTTATGGTTTGAAATATTATTTTATGTAAAATAATTGACATGAAACGGCTGTCTCTAAAGTTATGACCCCATCTCACCACATTGACATGAAAGTGGCAGAAATGACAATGATCAGCTGACGCATTTTTCTTGGCCGAAGTCAGAGCGCGCGGCCCGACGCACCACCACCGCACCACAAAGTATGAGCAGAAGCCGCGCCCAAAGCCAGGGCCCCGGTAACGTGAGGTAGCCGAGTCGGGGCAGCGTGCGCTGACCCAAGCCGGGGCCGCGGCTTTGTGCGCGGTCTACCGCATCCCCGCGGGCAGCCCCGGGCTATCACATGACACCGGGAGGACGCGCGGCCCCGGCTTGGGTCAGCGCACGCTGCCCCGACTCGGCTACCTCACGTTACCGGGGTCCTGGCTTTGGGCGCGGTCTACCGCACCACCTAACAGGCGTGTTCGAAACCGCAGGAGATGATGATGAACGGGTTTATCGAAACTTGATTGGATGAGCCTATCGGTAATAGCGATTTCAGTGTGTGCATTTATTGTTCATAGTGGTGTGAAATGTGGTTGGGGTACGACCGACAACCCGTCGGGGCGAATTTCGCACTGGGGTACTCAAAATTTGAAGAATTTAAGACGTTTCCATGAGTTTTGAAGGTATGGATAAGTTCTAAAAATCCGGTTCTCCTTATCTGGGCCATTAACTCCATACGGTCCAGGAAAGCTGGCACACTACCTTTAAAAGAGCGTCAAAAATAATGACGAAACCACTTTCGTCGCTTTTTTCGTCAGGTCAAAGGTCAGGTCACCAGAGGTCACTGAAGGCAAAATTTCGCCGATTTTGAGGTGGAATATCGACAGCTTTCAAGAAGCCGACGCATAACTCGGGAACCAATAGAGCTGCAGCGCCGCAGAAAAGCGTATTTGATAGCCCTATTACCGCTCTTTCTGAATAATCCTCTCAGAGTTGACCTAACTTCAACGGTTATGCCTGCAAGGGGCAAAAACAGCCAAGATAGACGATTTTTCGGACAGGTTTTTGTGCAATAATTTGACTCAAGACTTACACGAGCCTTCTGTTACCGGCATCGTGTTCCTCTCGTTAAGACGCATCTAATGAACTATAATTTGACCTTGAAAAGTCAACTTGAAAATTTGACTTCAGGTCAAGGTCATGAACTGACCGGAAAGGGCCATGTTGCATATCAGTCGATCGGGATCGTCGAGCTGAACACATCTAAGGCTCATCGCTCTAGAATGCCTCTATCAAAAGTTATTCGCGAGAAACTGTGAGATCCCATTCGTGATCTGAGATGACCTCAGGGGTATAAAGAGGGGTCATGAGTGGCATTTTAATGTTTAATGTGTCAAATTTTCTTGAAATCCAGTGTATGAGAGTGTTTAGAATGACTTTCATCCAAAAGAGGTGGTTTTGAATTTTCTCTCATTGACTTATAGGTAATGGGGAGGTCGGGAAATTGACCTGACGTTAGGTCACCGACATGAAAATTCCGAGATAAACATTTTGTACATACATTTGCATTTGTACAGCATTTTGCTCTTATCAATCGCTGAAAGTTTCAAAGCGATCGGTCACTCGGTGTAGCTATGGTATACGTTGAAATATTTATGAAGTGAGTTCACTTGAAGTGACCTGGTGACCTGTCCTTGAATGACCTTAGTCTGAAACTTTTACAACATGTGTAGAATTGATGTATGATAAGGTGTGCCAAAAACGGCGTCGCGGACGCGCCGCCGTTTTTTGAGATATTCCCGAAAAAAAAAACAGAGAGGCGTATTCAAACACCTCCCCCCCCCCCAAAGCAGGGCGCGGGTTAATACAGCCTAAGTCAATGCGGAAGGTCTTCTATTGAATCGAGTGTAAAGGAAAACAAATATGTATAATAGTTATATAAACGACTTGACAGTGCTACTGACGACATGATAAACGGTTGAAGTTTTTATTCCGTTTCATGTTATACAGTAACATACATACATACTTTATTTGTCTGTAAGCAGGTGCTGCCGCGACGGAATTATTGTTTTATTTTTGCCGTCATTTATTTAAATGGTTTTGTGCAGTAACGACAAGCAACATCACTAGCAAAACGTTCAACACTTGACAAATCCAGCAACAAACTATACCAGCCTTATTCTAGAATAGCATATACAATGCAAAACGAAATGGACTGAAACGTCAAGTGCTTTCTTTCATGTAGGTGTTGTACAATGCAAAACGAAATGGACTGTAACGTCAAGTGCTTTCTTTCATGTAGGTATTGTACCAAATCATGTGAGCAATAAAACCTCATTTGACAACGCATGTATCGCAGAAGCAATAACTATTCAAACCCGATGGTAATAGCCGTTTTCACGACGGGCTATCCGGCGCATGCACCTAATTTGACCAAATCTGCACTTAATCTCTTTTACAGCAAATATCTTCATTTTATGAATTTATTTCAGTGTTTTAATCGATGATGCTCTCTGAATATGACAAAGCAGGCATATAAGCAATTAGTGCAACCCTAGCTGATAGCTACTAAGAGAAACACTGAACCTAATTTGACCAAATCTGCACCTAATCTGCACCAGATGCGCACCAAATGTGTACCAGCTGGCCGTCGTGAAAACGGCTAATATCAAACAAGCGTTCTACCAGTGCATAAATAAAAGATGTTTGACTTAAATGGCCAAAATGAGGGGTTAAATGCAGATTTACAAACACCAGGCTTATGCTTAAAGATAACCTACTACGACACACTTATAACGACTGTCGACATCGACGCCGTCCTTTTCCGTCGTTTCCAATTCAAAACACATCGATCTGAGACCCAAGGTAACCTTTACCAAGCCAGCCCTACAGTTGCCGCACCGCGAGCATCTTCAAGATCTTGGGCAGCGCGATCGTCTCGTTTGTGGCCGGTCTGGAAGTGGCGCCGTGTTTGCCAGTTCTGTGTAACGGTCACCAGCAGCGTCTCAGTGGTCTCGATCAGAGTGAAGTACGAGAAGCCAGTAATGAGCCCGATAAACCCGCCAAGGTTGGCCAGCAAGGTACTGTAGGTGAACAGCAGGGACTCCTGAAGCTCCTCGGAGGCCAGGTCGAACTGGAGTACTGCGCCTGAGACACATGGATCTGATTCAACGCCTTTGGTCTTCTGAAGCTGATAATCCACCTGGTGGCAGGCGGGCAGACAGTTGCAGCCTGTAAGGCTAGTCAGTAGGTCCGGAGTTAACCGTTTTTCTGCTCTGTCTGGGAGCGGACATTTTGTTCCCACAATGCTGCCGTTCAGTGGGGGCCATTCACCGCGTGATAACTCAGCACCGCAGATCCAGGGACGAGTCAGTCCGCAGGCTTGGTGGAGACAGGACTGAGCAAATGTATCCTGACGCTTCCGAAATTTCATGTGACAAATGATTGACGATGGCAAGAACCCTACTCTAAATTCTTGCACGGGTCGTTTGCACATGGGCAGATGGTCGACGGGTCCGCGAATCTCCGGCAGGTAGGCGTCTGCTGCCACCATGTGGGGCAGCCGGCAGCCGATGTGTGCCGCCAGCCGCCGCCACAGACACTCCTTGAGACACTGGGTGAGCGAGTAGCCCGGCTCCGAGCGGCACGGACGGCGGTTCACGTTGGCCAGCTGCCGGAGGCGCGCCGTGACACGGTACGTGGCGATGCGCACACCGGGCTGCAGCTCGTGAAAGATCGTTGACGGCACCTCTACTCCGTGCTGGTTGGGGTCCAAGTCGAGGACGTTCGGCACCTCAGGCCCGTGCACGAACAACCGATGAGACACCTGTTTTAGACTGGTGAATAGGGGAGATACTTGAAAATAAAGTTCCATTTCCAGCTCGTTGCTGCTGAGTTCCTCTAAAAAGGAGCTGGCTTCAAAAGTCAGGCATCTTGTATGGCGTAGACCGTTCTCCTTCTCAAGGAACAGGTAGTAGCGTTGTTTCCAAGCGCCAAGATCGCTTTCAAATGGTATAAAAGCGACGTGATCACCCATTATCATAACTCCCGCCATCTCCCCGACCATCTCAGGCGTGGTGAGGTTGTAGTAGTCGAGCAGCGAGATGGAGTCGTTGACCAGCTGCTGCTGCCGCTCCAGCAGCAGGCTGTAGTCGGTCAGGCTGGCCGCCGGACACACGGTCAGACGGGGAAACGGCGCCTTCTTGCGCACCACGGTCGAGCTGACCGGCTGGGCGCGGAACTCGAGCAGCTGCTGGCCGGCCAGCGTCAGCAGCACCAGCAGGCCGGCTGCACGGGCCGTCCAGCGCAGCAGCGAGCGGACCAGCGGCACGGCGCGCGGCCGCCGGTCTCCCGGAGTTCCGGCCAGAGGGCCAGTCATCGTGTCCGCTGCCGTCCGGCTGAGTCTGACGGCCGAC